CATCTTGACAATACTTACTACATTGTGTCCTTTGTGAGCATGGTAACGCCATACCCCAGCATGTTGCCGTGGTCTGCTCGGTCCCCTTGTTTCCGACAGAAAACCTCTGGGATGTCATGGATCGTCGTGTTCGGCAGCGACAACATCTTCGAAGTCTGATCCAGGTCCTCAAAGAAGAATGGCGGCATCGCGTCATCAGACATCTTACTTGCTCTGTGCGCTGGAGTGATTTGTAGCATGGGGTGGTCATGGACGCTATTAGTGTCACGTTGATTATTTAATTAACTATTACAGTGAAGCCTCGTTAATCCGGACGGTTGCGTTTCTCAGCAAATTCGTCCGGATTGCGAATAGTCCGGACTACTGAATCAAGACCCAACCCTTACTATTACAAAAACGACACGAATCTGGATAAAACAAATAAGCATTTAATGTAAAGCTTATAAAACAGTGAATAGCAAGCACAACAATAAAATATAGTAATAGCAAAAAGTCTTTCATTGTTGTTTGTGTTCAGCACGGGTGAGGTAATGTCTAACAAGCGGTTCGTGAACACGACTCACAGCGTCCGGACTGTGAAGCAATTTACTGTTTATTTTACTGATTGGTTACAGCTACTTACCGTCCGGTTCCGGAAACCGAATTTCCGGATTATCGAGGCAAATTAAATAGGCATAGATTGGTAACAAGCTAAAATCGTCCGGGAGGCGAGACATCCGGATTATCGGAGTCCGGACTAACGGGGCTTCACTGTATTTAATTGTCCATTTAGTTGAAAGTTTGTAGTTTCGTTTTCAACCCCACCTCAATTCGATGAAGTTGCCATGCCATTATCAATTACTGTATACTTGCCATTGTAAATGTTGATTTTGTGGAATCTTACTTAATGCAACTATGGGGGCGGAGGGGTAGCCTAGTGGTTAAAGGGTTGACTCGTCATGTTGAAGACCCGGGTTCGATTCCCCATATGGGTACAACGTGTGAAGCACATTTCTGGTTTCCTCTGCCTTGATATTGATGGAATATTGCTTAAAGCGGCATAAAACCACACTCCCATTACTCATGCAACTATGGCAAAGTTTCTTTCGGCCATCAGTTTATGAGTCGTACAATGAAATCAGGATTTCGGATGATTACATGTTTCACTTAAATTTACCATAGACATCGCTATGGGGTCGATTTGTGGAACAAAGATGTACGTTATGAACTGGTTATGAAGTATGCTACATGTATTTCTTTACCAAAGGGCACACGACCGATGAATACCTGGACATCCTGAAGGATCTGCTCACCACAACAAACAACGTGATTGGACATAACATTGCAAATATGACGTGTTTCAGAGTACTGTCCGACGTGCCAGTCAGGGTGAGTCGTGAAAAGATACCTGGTGTCCCGTGTGTGGTACTTCTTATCAGTTGAACATAGTATGTGGTGAGAGAGATGTCTAGGATCAGAGTGATGGTTAAGATGAGAGGGATGGTTAGGGTGAGAGTGATGTTGATCGCCAAGGCGAAACTAAGGGTAAGCATGAAGGCAAGGGTGTGGTTTTGCTGAGGAAAAGGGTTGTTGTTATGATTGGGGTGAGTGGTAGAATGTGGGTGAGTGAGGCTTCTAGAAACTTCCATACCTGGTCATGATACTATCAGTGGTAGTTCTAGTTTGTGTTTTATCTCTTTTCAGATGATCTATTTGAGCAACGTTCATCCATCTCAAAACGAAATGTTGATAAAACAGTTCAAGGTAGCAGAAAGAGCACAGGTCACCGTCAGAGCCTACGACAACCTGAATGATTACGTTTGCTAGAAATATGAAATATGTAGACTGTAAATAGCCCAGAGACAGAATACACGCGTTTCGTTTACTGCTATTTTAATATTTGCTTTGCACCACTATTAAACAGAATAATGTAAAACACAATTTATCAACACGAAATAAATAAAGAGAATTTTATAACATTAGTTGACGTCGTTGCGTCTTCGCTTGAAACGTCAACCTTGACCTCAGCTTAGCCAATCAGCTGGGTAGTGATCGCATTCTTAAATCGCGACAGCTACGCTTCCTGAGAACAAGATCGCCGTTGCGAAATGTCCCAATGTGATGAAGTGGTGGAAAAGGACAAATGAGAGGCTATCACATTTTTTGATTTTGTAACTTGTGAATGGATCGTTTGTTCACGTAATTAAGTGTACATAATAATCATATAAGTAATTTTATTATAGACTGACTGACAGAGTTTGGTTTTACGCCGCTTTTAGCAATATTCCAGCAACAGCACGGCGGGGGACACCAGAAATGGGCTTCACACATTGTACCCATGTGGTGATTCGAACCCGGGTCTTCGGCGTGACGAGCCAACGCTTTAACCACTAGGCTACCCCACCGCCCCCCTTTTATCATAGAAGTGATCCTAAGCCTATCTACCGCAATCAGGCAATTCAACATGCAGAATTGTGTCCCTTGCGGGTTTTAGGAGCCTACGATTGGAGTGCTTGTTTGTAAGCATAAAACACACATGGCTACAATGTGTGAAGCCCATGATATTGCTGGAATATTGTTATAAGCGGCGTAAAGACATACTCACTCACTGACCTAATATCTGAAATAATATACCCGGTAACAGAATCGTCTTGTTAGTTTCACTGGTGTGACAGCTAGTCTCAGTATAACGAGGACAGTTTTACTTCCTGTGTGAGTTTCAGTTTTCCAGTTTTTTATCATCTCGCATTAGGCATTATGTTCATGTTATGTTCATTAGGCATTGTGTTACCATGCGTGTCGCTCTTAATCTGCCCATTTTAATATGGAGTGGTGGGGTAGACGTAGCCTAGTGGTTTAAGCGTTCGCTCGTCACGCCGAAGACCCGGGTTCAATTCCCCACATGTGTAATGTGTGAAGCCCATTTTTTCTAACCCCCGCCGTGATATTGCTGGAATATTTCCAAAGCGTAAAAATATCTCAGTCAGTAAATACGAGCTGGAGAAATGCTAACATCTCATATTATACCTTTCGTATCCATATTACCACCACAGCATGATGATAGTGATGATAGCTATTGTTTATCAGCCTAACCTAGTCAACATCACTTATCACAGTTTGCATGTAAAGTATCCAATAGTCTGTCTCACAGTTCCTGCACCACGTTATTTCCCCTCCACTGAGCCCTCCCTGCAGTACTAAAGCCCGAAATGAAGTTAAGATTTCCTCAGCTTCAGGTTATGAATGTCCCAACTCAACTGATTTTCAATTTAAACGGAATTGCTTGTTCTATGAAAATAACATATATTCAGAGACTAAGCGTTAGTCTAGATATCCAAGTGTGTTAGCATCATGCAAGCCACATTATTTGGGTTCAGTACATGCACCCGCCTACAGTGTAAGCATATCGCTGTACAAATGTATTAATCCTGAATGCGACGTTAAAATGCCCCACCTTATATGTACATATAACGTTGTCATGACGTAATTATGTATAGTTTGTGTACGATGTATAATTACGTCAACACGGTGTTTATTCTTCACCGGTATGTACTGGATACTCAAAGTTCATTCATGAGACCAGTCAACAACTTGTTGTCGCCAGGCTCGCCGCTTATCTCGGGCAACGATAAAATCTCAAACACTTCCTTGTGGTTTGGCGAGCGCGAGGACAAAGAGTTATACACTTCGCTGGGGTCATACATGCCTGTGTGTGCAACAGTTATTTCACATTATGGACTGCAGAGCTGGCGTTGCATAATGGTGTTGTGATTCTTTCATGTAAGGGCAGTGTGTGAGTGTGAGTGAGTGAGTAAAATTTACAAATGATAGTGTATACTTATGAAGTCATCATGACTGTACGTTCAGACATGTACGGAATAACTGTAGGGGAATGTCTAGCCTTACGTGAAGAAAATATCGTAGCTGTCAGATGCAACAGGTTGTTGTGCAAGGCATGGCGGACATCAAGAAGGGGAATTTCTGGATTTACGTGACGAAAATATCATAGCTGTCGGATTCATATATCATCTTTATCAATATTGCAATATTCCAGCAATATCACGGCGAGGGACATAAGAAATGGATTTCACACATTGTACCCATGTGGGGAATCGAACCCGGGTGTTCAGCGTGACGAGCGAACACTTTAATCACTAGGCTAACCCACCTGCCCTGATAACCCGCGATGATGAATGGGTTCGATTATATGAATTGTATTGACAGTATACCCTGAATAATCCGGACATCACACCTCGGACACGCCGATTTCGGAAATGATTTGGTTTCTTTTATGCATACACACAAACAGCAGCAATACGTCATTTATAAGGACATTTGTTAATATGTTGAAAAGGATCACAGTATATATCCTCCTAAACATACACATTTCTATACACAATCATTAATACATCACTGTTCTACTGCAACCATGGAAAGGAAAATGTGTAAAGAACTACACACTATTAACGAAATGTATGTACATACGACTTTACATACTCACATAGCAGATAGGATTCGGGCTTAGATGTTGCTGGTAAAACTTGCATAGCTTGAGACACATGCACGCGCACACACACGCACACACACGCTCACACACATACATACATACACACACACACATACATACATACATACATACACACACACACATACGTACGTACGTACGTACATACATACATACATACATACATACATACATACATACATACATACATACATACATACATACATACATACATACAGACACACACATACATACATACATACATACATACATACATACATACATACATACATACATACATACATACGCGGCTCTGTGGTAATGCTACATGTCACGAATACCTATTTACGTCACACAGGAAAATGCGTCACTGTGTTTCAAACAGGTCACATGATACATACTGCTTCAAGGGCACCGTGGCTCGAGCATATCAGCATAAAATCAAGTCCGCTAAATTATTTGTAAAATCCCCTGTAATAATACATGTTCAAACAATGTTTAAATGCAGTTAATTTGAATGTAAAATACCAAATACTGAATTCACAGATGTCAAGGCAACAATCAATGCAAAACAACGCTTAGCCAATGACATACTTGTTTACATCACGTGACCCGTCTAGGCACGTCGACCTCGACCACATCATATGGAGATATATACAAAGCAGGACGCGGAGTAACAGTTGAAATTTTAAAAGTCTGAGTTATCCGTTGAAGAAAGAGAAATATGGCGATAGCTAACATGATGCACCATGGTAGCCCTACAGACAGTTTGCATAGATTGCCTTTCCGACTGGATCGCACTGACTGTTTGGACGATGATTTTGAGACGCTCGCTGAATGCACACGGGTCATGAAATATGAGAGAAATAGGCGGGAAACTTTCAAAACCTGGCCGGCGTGGAGTTGTCAAAGACTGGAGTGTTTGGCTAAAGCTGGGTTCTACTACACGAAGATCAGTGACAGAGTGCAGTGTCCATTTTGTCTCGGTGTCCTCAAGAAATGGGAGACTTGGGATGAACCAATGTCTGAGCACAGACGACATTTCCCGCATTGTAAATTCATCCAGGGTGAGGATGTTGGGAATGTGCCCATAGAAGACAATACAGGACTATTGCAGAAACAAATAGCACCTACTTGTATCGGAAGTGAAGCCACAGCTTACTTCAAAAAGGAAGTAAATCGGTTGGCATCATTTTCAAGATGGCCACCAAATTTAACTCAAACACCTGAAGTTCTGTCTAGAGCAGGATTCTACCACGTTCCGTGTGAGGAGAAACCGGACAGAGTGAGGTGTGCCTATTGCCAGGGGAAACTGTACAACTGGAAACCTGAAGACGACCCTTGGACTGAGCACGCAAAGTGTTTCCCGTCCTGCCCCTATATAACGCTGTGTGTGGGACAACATGTCACCAAGTCAATGTTCCGGGAACATGGAGTTGTCGAGTGAGTACTGCAGTTAAAATATTTAAGAGGCTGTAAGAGGTTATTGTAGCCCGGTTCGGAGGCACAGCAATTCGCTATGTAGCCAGTTGCGCACGTTCTGAATGCATTGTGATTGTGGGTTCGAACCCCGGCCGCCCTGTTTGTCAGCAGAGTTCTAATTGTTTAAGACCTGCATCAGTTTTGGCTTTTCTCACCTATCACGTTCACAAAATAATATTGAAATACTATTAAATCCAAATCACTCATAATTTCTTTTTTTTTCTTAGTACCCAGTTTGAACAGCAGTTTTATTCCTACAATGCAGTTATATATTAAAGTGCGGTGAATAAGTATTCAGTTTGGACAAGTGTATAAAAGCTATGATATTACTGCTCTAAATGTTTAAGATAATTCAGGAACATAATGCTCAACATAAGAGTGAATCAGGAAATAACTGTGATTGTCATGTTCAGTTAGCTTGGAGAATCCATAGGGCATAAAAGCCCAAAAGTAAAAATAGATAATAATAATAATAATAATAATAATAATAATAATTAGTCCATTTGTATTGCGCTAAATCCACACCGACAGCATGCTCATCAGATCTGATAAAGTCAGTGAGTGAGTTTAGATTTTAAGTCACAGCATTTCAGCCATATCGTGACTATATCAAGTTATATCTTTATAATAATTATAGGTAAAGTATAAAAACCTGCCAACTAAGGACAGTAAAACAACTAGACTATCGCAGATATAAATTTTAAAACTAGTAAGTGAAGTAAACATTGCAACCATACATGACGAGACAATATAGAAACAGGACATAGATTGCCAACAACTGAAGGTAGATCACCATACTAGGGACAGATGGGATAAAGTTTGGTGTAACTTTGTCAAAAACATAGTGACTGGGTTGGCTGCTTTGAAATATAAAGTGTCAAAGCCAAAGTGTCTCGATTATTTGTCGAAACAGATTCTATCGGCATCAATGTCAGAAGAATAGTAACAAAAGTAATCTAAAAACCCGTCAATTCCAAATCCTCAGGGAGTAGAATGTTGATGTGAATCAGTGTAAAAATATATGTTTCAGTCGAAGCACGTCAGCAGACTGCGAGACACAATGTCATGAAAAATCAAAGATCATAATCAAAGCAAAAGTAGGAATCGATCCCACGATCATATTAGGATCCTTGTATCTCAGAGGAACTATCCCAAACCATGCAAATCATGCATATGCCTTCTCATTGTATTTTGTATTACTAAGTGAAACATGAAAAATTAACATAATGAAAGGTGACAAGATAATTTTGTTGTAATGACTTTATCAAGTTAAATTTAATATGCTTTCATTTAGGGAGAAACACAATGCCGAAACTGGGAAAGATCAACAAAGCTCTGCTCAGGAAAATATTTCCTCACCTGAGGATAACATAACAAAACTCATGAAGTGTGAGGCAGTTCTAGCTGTGCTACAAATGGGGTTCTCCCAACATCTTGTTCGAGAGGTTTTGAAGAGCTACTGCAAATCAAGTAAAGGAAAATATTTCTCTGCACAAGACTTGGCGACTGATATTCTTGACATGGAAAAAGCTCTTGAGACAACAAACATCATTTCCAAAACTACTGCTTCTACAGAAAGGACACAATGTAACAGAACACAGACTTCTAAGACAGACACCAGAGGAATGTGTGGTCTGCAAAACAACTCAACATCAAACAATTCTCCTGTGCTGGAAAACATCATGGACGAGAACTCACGAATTAAGGACCGATACCTGTGTAAAATCTGTATGGAGAGCCCAGTGAGGGTGACCTTTATGCCCTGTGGTCATCTCGCATGTTGTGGGCCCTGTTCCATGGCAGTGTCCAGTTGTCCCATCTGTCGGACTCCAATACAACGATGTGTTCGGACTTACTTCTAAGACTGTTTATTATTTTTGTGTTAAATACTGCAGGTTTGGTCCCTGAATTGAAACTTGAGTGAGTGAGGTATTAACACAGTGTTCATTGTTATTTTGCTTTTTGCGACCGGTATCGATGCAGGTCATCCTCTGCTGTTAAAGGTTTATGTTTACAAAAAATGTTCAGCTTTTACATAATAAACTCTTTAATAAAACATAATTTCTCGATGTTATATGTTTACACCCTATACACTCAACGTGCATATGTAAGGTACACACAGCTGATCTCCTGGATGGTGCTGTACAACATATCACACATAATGGCATAGCAAGAGGTTACATACAGGTTGTAGGGTTTGATTAAGTTAAGGTTGGTAAAGTAACTGATATACGTCCTGCATGATAGCCAGTCAATAAGAAATACATCCCATAATTATTTTCCAGGTCATTCGAATATTTTCTCCTGCAATTTACAAAATCATTTCTAATGGAAATGGCAATAGAAATATCAGATTTCCAAATATTTCTCAATGATAAATTACTTGTTGATTTACGGATTTCTTTACATGAAAACCGTTCAGTGAATTTCTTAGACTTTGTACACATGACAAACACACACACACATACACACACGTAGTACTTCACACATTTGAGCTCCCTAGCTTACAGTGACAAGCTGGTTATGCATTGTGATTAAAGACTAAAACTCTGAAAACGGTATCGAAAGTTATTGATTTTAATATTTCCATCAAATGTTATATAAGCAAAGCCCACTTGAGGTACATGCAAATACTTCTTCAAAACCCCAGTTCATGGTCTGGATATCACAAAGGTGTGATCAAAACGAGGCTTGAATGTTTCTCTTGACGTGTAATGTAGGGAAGAAAGTGAGCGAGTTAAAATACAAAGTTTCATTGGCATTGTGTCAGGCATATATCGACACGTAACGGAAGAATGCAAAGGATTATCTTTACACTATAGTCCTTCAGGACAATGCAGTGTCAGTCGGGATATTTTATAGTGAAGCGATATGAAGAGTCTATGCTGTAATTGATGTTATTTGGCCTCATGTTGAGATATCTTGACTACAGGATGATTTAACAACAGTTATCTATTGACACTATTCACGTGTATAACTCACGGACAGTTTGCTTCAACATGATATTCTTTATCTTTAGGGACAAGAAAAAAGTGCATCATCATCAGATAATTTTTTTATTAAAACCCACTTTCATGAACTTGTACTACCAAACACCCTTACCATATCTCAGTGTCAGAATGTTGACATCTGTTTATTTTCGGAGATCTCGACAAATGCTACATATTCCGCCTAGAAGGGGAAATATATTTCTGAGAGGGAAAATACATTCCTAATACCCAAAAGAGCAAAAAGATGTTTGTTGATATTGTTGAACCTCAGCTGTCAAGGCGGGCTGTAAATAATCAGGTCTGGCACAGACAACCAGTGATTGATATTCTGACTAACATGTAACCGTCGGGGTACCATGGCACACTATCAGCCGGAAGCCTACCGATCCAGCTAGTCGTCTCGTACGACAAGTATGTGTAAGTACCGAGTTCAACCCTGAACCCCAGTCGGTATAAAAGACACCATGTACGTACATGTGTTTCCAATACGTGCACAATTTGACACAGCAAAAACTTTTAGCTGACACAACGAAATTAGCAAGCATATGAGTATATGTACCATGTTAGGTTCTAATGTATGGCAACTGCAGCAAGTATGCACAAGCTTCACTTTCAGAATTATATTAACGCTGTCTGATCATGATGTAACATTGCTAAATACATAGTTGTACTCCTCAAACCACTTATCCTATGTTAAAATATAACAGAACATAATCGATAACATAATTTAGCAGACAAATATGTAACGGTATTGCACCTGTTGATCCTTGAAGATGAGCGACAGTTTCGCCTGTGTATCTATTTGTCTCCGAGATGCGGCATTACTATGTATCATGGTCATTGAGCAGTGAAGAGCCTATCACACATCAAATTCCGCATACCCATTACTTCTACACTTACGTCATAATATGACCACAACATATACATATATATATATTTCCACAGTTTATCCAAATAAGGAGTTCATGTGTATTGAGCTTGTACGTGTTTGTGTGACACAGCGATTTGTTTACAGCGGGCAGCTGGTTAGGTCTAGCAGATACTAGAGCTATCTAGATCAGTGCGCTTCGGTCTAAAAATAGGAAAGTCGTATTATATAAATTTCATTGAGCGTATCTTTACTACAACCAGTCAGACTACTACGGCTTACGTTGCAGGCATGACTATGGCTAAAGGAGTAGGCAACTTAGCTGACACTCAGTCAGGTAATATATCTACACAGCTAGAATGTGTCGACTGCATGGACGATGATTTTGAAACGCTCGCTAAATGCTCACGGGTCATGAAATATGAGAGAAATAGGCGGGAAACTTTCAAAACCTGGCCGGCGTGGAGTTGTCAAAGACTGGAGTGTTTGGCTAAAGCTGGGTTCTACTACACGAAGATCAGTGACAGAGTGCAGTGTCCATTTTGTTTCGGTGTCCTCAAGAAATGGGAGACTTGGGATGAACCAATGTCTGAGCACAGACGACATTTCCCACATTGTAAATTCATCCAGGGTGAGGATGTTGGGAATGAGCCCTTAGAAGGCAATACAGGACTATTCCAGCACCCAGTAGCTCCGGTCTGTGTCGGAAGTGAAAACAGAGCGAACGTCGACTTTAGGAAAGAAGTCAATCGGTTGGCATCATTTTCAAGATGGCCACTAAATTTAAGTCAAACACCTGAAGTTCTGGCTAGAGCAGGATTCTACCACGTTCCGTGTGAGGAGAAACCGGACAGAGTGAGATGTGCCTATTGCCAGGGGAAACTGTATAACTGGAAACCTGAAGACGATCCTTGGATTGAGCATGCTAAGTGTTTCCCGTCCTGCCCATATGTAAAGCTGTGTATGGGACAAGATACTATTGTAGATATGCTGCATGAGCAACGAGTTGTCGAGTGAGTAATACAGTTGTATTTCATAATTTCATTTATTTAAACTCATTGTGACTAGCAAATGCTTGTAAATATGTTTCGGTATTAATGTTTGCACACATTTTAATGAGAGGAAATGAGGAGACGTAATACGAAGAAGTTGATTTTTAATATTAATTGGAAAAGGGGATCAGACACTTCAGCAAAGAAGTAGGCAGCTCCATAGGGCGAAGTATTGTGCTCCTTTTCTTACTGAAACGTTTCCTTGTGCATGTGGATCGTAATCTCTGCTTGGATTGTCAAAATGAAAACAAGTGAGTTTAACCAAGTTAAACTTGGTATATCAATGATCTGACAACGTTTAATAGCTGTAAAATAGCCAGTTCCTATCCACTGATTAACCTACCTGCACTACACATATGAAAAAATGTAACCTTTTTTATTACTTTTTTATTTATAATATGTCCAAGTAAATATTGAGTACGTTTTCTACAATATGACACTTTTTATTCAGGGGAGAAGAACACGCCAGAATCTCTAAAAGATCAACAAAGCTCTGCTCAGGAAAATATTTCCTCCCCTGAGGATAACATGACAGAACTCACGCGCAGTGAGGCAGTTCTAGCTGTGCTTCAGATGGGGTTCTCCCAACAACTTGTTCAAGAGGTTCTGAGGAACAATAGCAAATCAAGTAAAGGAAAGTGTTTCTCTGCACAAGAGTTGGCGACTGATATTCTTGACATGGAAAAAGCTCTTGAGACAACAAACATCAAATCCAAAACTTCTGCTTCTACAGAAAGGACACAATGTAACAGAACACAGCCTTCTAAGACAGACACCAGAGGAATGTGTGGTCTGCAAAACAACTCAACATCAAACAATTCTCCTGTGTTGGAAAACATCATGGACGAGAACTCACGAATTAAGGACCGGTACCTGTGTAAAATCTGTATGGAAAGCCCAGTGAGGGTGACCTTCATGCCCTGTGGTCATCTGGCCTGTTGTGGGCCCTGCTCCATGGCAGTGTCCAGTTGCCCCATCTGTCGGAATACAATACAAGGACGTGTTCGGACTTACTTCTAGGACTGAATAAACTCTTGCTGTTAAACACTGTTCATGATTCCGTCAGTGAAGCTCGAGTGAAATTACTTTCATTTACCACTTAATCATCACTGTCTCGTCTGTAGTGACAAGTCCAAATATACATTTATGCTATGTGTGCACAGTAAAATCGGTACCTTTCACATATGCAACCTGAAACAAAATATAGAGTTATAGTAAAAAATATTGCAGACAGCCATAAGCAAGTGAAGATCGAGGAAATACATATTTCAGAAGTGCGGATACAAGTGCGATTGCATGGTAGTGATTTTGGAGGAGGCGAGAGAGTTATTCTCATTTGTATGAGGGACATAGCAGAAGTTTGACTTGGCACTATATAACTTTTTTTCATATTTTATTTTATGCGCACATAAACAGTATTTAGAATGAGGCTGTGAGTGAAGCACTGGTCAAGAGAACAGATGGACGTTTCAAGCAATTGTCCATTTTACATAATATTTACATGCCTTTACTTTTCCAGACTTTCCATGTGGAGGTTGTATATTTACATCAAGTCTCCCACTTTTTGTTTATTTGTTTGTTATTATATATATATATATATGTTTACAATGCATTTTTACTTGTTACTAATAAAGTTTTGTTAATGATATAAGTTTCATTCATTTCTGACAGGCTACACTGTTAGATTTAAAACTCCCCAAAAGCGAATAACTATTTAGTAAACCTGTTTGTTGGATTACTGATGTATATCGGTGTAATTTATAGTTACAGACTGTCGCAAATGTATAACATTATTTTTGTTAAGATTCAATAGAATTTCATAACCTTGTGTTTTGTCTGTTGTGAGGAATGTACATTTGAGTGAGTATGGTTTTACGCTGCTTTTCGCAATATTCCAGCAATATCACGACGTGGGACGCCAGAAATGGGCTTCATACATTTTACCCATGTAGGGAACCGTACCCGGATCTTCCGCGCGACGAGCGGACGCTTTAACCTCTGGGTTACCCCCATGTACAATTGTCTAATGTAAAGTGATGTGAATGTTACTATATTCTATATTTTGATGATTTTGGAGTTCATAGGTCTCAGGATACATTTATATGTATTCACAATGACAAAAGCTATATGTATTCACAATGACAAAAGCTTTAACAGGGTGGTTTATGAATTGTTTGTATTGTTCAGTAACGTGTGGTAGTAGTGCTATGAACCGTTAATTTTATTTCGTGGATCTACGTGCCGTGAACGGCGTACTATTCTGTCTATAATGATTGAGTATGGTTTTACGCCGCTTTTAACAACATCCCAGCAATATCACAGCGGGAAACACAAGAAATGGACTTCACACATTGTACCCATGTAGGAAATCGAATTGCTTTAATCACTAGGCTACTCCACAGACCCCTTCTGCGAATAAAGGCATACTCATAGTGTTGTATGAGAGTCATGTCCCAAGCTTTCCTTTTGAGATAAATAGATATGTTTAAAATGAGTTCCATCACGCTGGTAGTTTTTACGAACCTGGGCCTCCTTTCACAAAGCACTAAGGTGATCGTAAGTAACTAGGTAACCTTAGTGCAATGTTAAAGAATGGGAGTTAAGGTTAACCTTAGTAAAGGTTGCTTCGTGAAAGAAGCTCCAGAAAGCTAAAACAAACTTGATTTTATCACTTTTGACGACTTTGTGTGGTAATTCAATTAACAACATTAAACATTTGTTACGGTCTTGCACAGATCAGTGGTTTTCTATTAGTGTGGTGGTGAAATGCAGATATGCAAAAAATACCACATAAAAAAGAAACATCCATTTTGTAACTGTTATCATACATGAACGTTATGTTACCCTTGAACGTTCCACAGAATCATTTGTCTAGATCCTTAAGTTTGCTGTACAACAATTACGTGCATTATAAACTACGCATTATGTATGCCATTATTTAATGCAAAAGTATAAAAATATGTTTTCTGGTGTTTTCCGTAATCACCGTTTAACTGTTGAGGATAACATCGAAATCTGTGTAATTTGACATAAGGCGTCGTGTCACGCCCTTGAAGAGATGTGGTGTCAAAATCAGTTCAGAGATTAAGTATCGTGTGTGTCCTCTATTGATGCAGGCTTGACAGCGACGACGCAGAGGACGACACTAAGCGATTGAGAAAGCTTAGGAATGTTGTTCTATATTTGAAATAACGCTTCTCCCAATTCTTCTACCATAAATGGTTGATTCTGGGCTTGACGCAAGAGGACCCTTCCCCACCCCAATACCATAACGAATCCGCCACCAAACTATGACGTCACGCGTAGACGGCCGATCCGAGGCAAATTTAAATAAGGTAGAAAACGTCTCCATAGAGATGGGATTGTGTTTGATGGACACCAAAATGTCTGGCCACTTCATTTGGGGCAATTCTCCAGCATAACCAAGACATGACGTACGCGCATTTTAAGTTGACATAAACGTGTGTTTTACAACATTCAAAGGTAAGAGAATAATTAACCGTTCTTCAGTTGTCTACATCATATGTGTGAACTTCGGGTGTAAAAAAACATACAAATAGTGAGTAAGATCATTGTGACATTGTCATCATCGCGCGACACGTGATATCAAATCTCATGCAAATTGCTTTGCTAAATGTATGGTTGGGTTATTTATATAACTTTTCAAATAACTTTTATTGAACAGTTTAATGTTGTGCACAGTACATCAACTCATGTATGTCTCATGTTCGCGTGTGTATCTTTAGGAAGTGTTTTCGTAGGTTCGAATCTCGGTTTCACCTGATTGTGTATACAGATCTCTGTTCGTCAGTTTATTTGTAAACGGTCAAGACCTGCTTGGTCTAACAGGCTGTGACAAAATGTACACATACAAAGCCTCTGTTTGTTGTTTTACGCCGCACTCATCAATATTCCAGCTATATGGTGGCAGTCTGTAAATAACAGAGTTTGGAACAGACAATCCACTGACCAACAACATGACCATGAATTTACACAGATATAGGATACGATGACATGAGATCACCTTTTATCCCGCATCTTAAGACAAGCATGGGTTGCTGGAAGATCAATTCTTAACGGGTGACACGACATAGCATTGTTAAACCACACAGAAGTTCACCGAGCCAGTCGCTATGAGAAACCACCTAATTGACACAATATCAACCTTTACAACATTTTCAACCGTTTGGTTGTGGTTTAACTCAAAACAACAGCTGTACGCGGCACTCCACTGCAAGGGCAAAGGCCCCTGTTCAGTCGTAAGATGCGACAAACGTGATCAGGCGACCACACTCGCGGTGGTTGATGCATATCACGGTATCAACGTTACGTAGATCAATGCCCTTGGTATCAGTCACTGGACTGACTGGCCGCGACTCGAATGTGTACAAACCACCGTCATAACGCTGAATTATTGCTGGAGTGGTGCGGTAAACAAAGAACGTATACATATATCATTTGACTGACTGACTGACTGAGTTTGGTTTTACGCCGCTTTTAGCAATATTCCAGCAACATCACGGCGGGGGACACCAGAAATGGCTTCACACATTGTACCCATGTGGGGATTCGAACCCGGGTCTTCGGCGTGACGAGCCAACGCTTTAACCATTAGGCTACCCCACCGCCCCTATATCATTTGAAACTGACAGTGTTGATTATCGGTGACAATTCAAATTACAGTTGCATTAAATAATAATATAAACAATTCCGAAGAATATTTTTCCAGAAATACAAGTAAATGAAGCAGATCTAACCAAGGCGAAGTTTGAGTGAGTGAATGAGTGTGGTTTTACGCCGTTTTTAGCAATATTCCAGCAATATCATGGCGGGGGACACCAGATTTGACTTCACACATTGTACCAATGTGGGGAATCGAATTCCCGGGTCTTCGGCGTGACGAGCGAAGCGAAGTTTGAACTGGACAAAACGAGCATAGTCCCAGAGTTACGTCCCTTCAATTTGTCATTTCACATCGAGTTGAGGCATTTTATATGAATGGTGATATCACGCCTCTTCAATCCACCTATGAAATGTGGCGAAAGACTGTTAACGCTTTTAAAACTTATTGAATTAAATGAAAAATAATTCACATGAATAAAATGTTCAATGACATTCGTTATATCAAAAGTGGTTTTAATCACTCTGTCGGGCGCTCGGCGCTAAATGAGTATCCTGAGAGGACGATTTCTACTTTGCTATTCATATCATGAAATTGAAATACACTCATATTACCATAAACACCCTTCTTGTTAATAAAGTGAAATTCTAATAGAAGTGATGTCAGAAGATGTATAAGCAAACGGCTGTATAAAAGTTACAGATGAAGGAGTTTTGACAAGATTGGGGTTATCTTGACCCTTTTACATAGATTAAGCATTAAATCACATTGATAGATATACAACACTGTTTGACTTAAAAAGTCATTGTCCCCAATACGAAAATAGAGAATATTGAATCTTTAATGTATATACTGAGAGTATAATATTTATAGACACAGTTTTCATCAATCAGCATAATCAAAATACAATGCATTTCATTGTAAAATGTACTGATTGGTTATCTACAATACGCCTTTGGACAGAATTTATGATTTTTAAAATATTAAAACTATGAAACCCGAAACCAGTTTTCAAAGCGCACTCAGAATATACTTGTCAATATTCCTAATACCATTTTGCATGACAACTTCAGATAGCAAGCTCCCATCTGTCATTAGTGTGTAAATCAGCTCTATGCAAGACGTTATCACGCACGCACGTCACATCAAGAGAGGGCAAAATACTTTGACGGAAATATATTGAAGCTACGATCGTTCATTTCACAATGTGTTTTATTGAACAAACTTTATTAATAGCAACTTGTAAGAACCGTCGCACTCACGAAATAAAGAAGTGATAATGCATAAAATCATAAATTTGTTCAATATTATACGTTCCAACTTCTAAAATGTCACTCAAACAAGTTAACAGAATGTTTTGGTATGTTAAATATTACCACATATTTCTTTTACATTCTTTGTTTCTGATCTTTGCAATTGGGATACAGTGACATGCATCTGCCGAATCAGGGAGACTGACCACCCAATCCCATTTAGTCCACCGTACTGTTGCATTGTACATCTATTAACTTCTTTGTTGATATCCCCATGCCTTGTAAGAGGAGATACTTTACCATTTTAGAATGTCTCCCCAGAACAAGCTATGTTAAGGATGTTGTTACCATTAGCATCCACTAAGGGAAACATCACCTCCTCTATCCACGAGTAACTCAACCACTTTTTACGTCCAGAGTATGCTTGCTTCCATCAAAGGTGTCCTTCCATAACATCCTTTGCTGTTGATGTCCAGTTTGTTTAGTGAGAGGACATACCTTACCATGTTAAGATGTCCACCAGCACAGGCTATATGAAGGATATTAAATCCTTTTGCATTAGTTAGAGAAAGATTAGCTCCTCTGTCCACCAGTAATTCAAACACCTTTTCTATGTCCATGCCATGCTGCCTTCATCAAAGGTGTCCTCCGGCAACTTTCTCTGCTGTTGATGTCTATGGTGGTTTGTGAAAGACATTCTTTACTATTTCAGTATGTCCTCCAGAACAGGCTATATGAAGCATATTATTTTTTCTAGAATCTATTTTAGAAA